GCAGTTGCCTAAGCATTGATTCAGAATACTTCTTTAAAAACTACAAATCAAAGGAGAAAGTCAAAAAGAGGGCAAAAGAGGTGAACACGCACTTCACAAAAGACAATACCCCAATACCCAATACACATAAAAAATGCAACCTTGTTGATTAAAGCTGGACCTACACGTATTTGTGATCAAGTAATTTTACTGCTAGACATATTGCCAAAGAGGTTTAGATATGTGTATACGCATGTGTACGTATACACGGGAGGTATTCAATACCCAGTACAATGTTTACGTAAAAACGCTTTCATGGTAAGGACATATTGTGACTGGCCCCCTCCAATCACTCCCTGTGCTCCGAGCACACTTATTCCGTCCTACGTGCCGCCTCCTGCACATGTACTGCGCACTGACTGCACCACTGAGACTGTCCTGGAGCCCGCCGGCCTGAGGCTCTGCAGGAAGCTGATAGTAACCGCAGGGAATGCCGCTGCGGGCACTCCTAGGACAGGCAGCCTGGAAGCACACGAGTCTGTCCTCACCCATGTGGTGCCTGATCTGCAGGATGTGGCTTTGGCTCTTCCTCAAAGTTTGAAGGAGCATAAAAGTTAGATGCTTTGAATCAACTCAGGACGTCCTTCTTTACACAAAAAGTACTTCACTTAATGCTCTACTTTGACCTCTGAGTTGAAAAAATAACCACCTCTGTGAGAAATTTTTCCAAATCTACATCTACAGAAGCTTTCAGTAGTTCTCTTTGTTAATAGAGTGCTTCACGACACAGCTGTTAGGACTTCCCAGCACACCGCACCGATCCAGATGCTAGGGATGTTTCCAACCTCCTGCTAGCCTGAGTGCAGCAACACTGAATGCTCTCGCCACGTTAGAGTGTGAGTACACAGGTACACCTGGCAGCAGTGCCCAGGCAGTACTCCTGCTGGGACGCGGGGTCTGTGGTCGGCCGCCCCTTTCCCTTCCGTGGATACTCCCACCCTCCTGCACAGATGACTCCCTTTATTGGAGTCTCTTCATATGGCTGGTTTCAAAGATTAACTCAGTGGAATAAAGCACATACAGGAAGACGTGATGGCGCACGCCTGCGATCCCAGCGCTTGGGAGGCTGAAGCAAGAGGATCATTGCAATTCCAAGACCAGCCTGGGCTACCAAGAGAGTGCAGGGCCAGCCTCAACTACATAGCAAGATCCTATCTCAAAAATATAAGAAAGACCCCGAAAAAAACAACCCCCCCACATGTAGTCTTCGCTAATTCTTTCCCAAGTACATCTATAAAATTTGCTGGAAAGTTTAAAAACACATGAATTTTCAAATTTAACTCTTGCTAACACAGTACTGACACTAGTGCTGGGACAGCAATTATTTCTCTTCCTATTATCTTCCTCTTAACTTGTGGCCTAAAAACAAACATGCTCCCTATTCTAGGTTTTCCTAAAATTTCACACTCAATAGTTTATAATTAGATATGCAATCAAAAGAGCTTTTCGCTTTCAAATATTTTCCTGAAAAATTCAACTTTACAGAAAAACAAATTTATATTATTTCTATATTTTCCTTAAAAGCTATAATTTCAAATGTTCTTTTAATCTTTATGCTTACTATTTTCACCAGGCAATGTCACCTAAAATATTCTAATTTCCATTCTTGTCCTATTAAGTAATTAGTAAATGCACACAGAAGTCTACTGGACTTTCTATTTGAAAAAATCCTTAAGTGCATTCGGTTTTAGTTTCGTTATAAACATAAGTAAACATATAAATGATCATTTTTATTCATCAAATAAGAACACACCAGTACATACACAATTGCTTTTGCATTTCATAATTCAGCTATCAATTATAATTGATATTCCAGGCTATCTCAGTACCCTGGAATAAAGTCCTAGAGTAGCAACTGTCCAAAATACGCTTTTTAAAACTACTACCTATTCTATGCTCCCAGTCGATAGACAGGACAAAAAACTTTCCTAAATTCTCATCAAAGTAGCTTTAAATACAAGTCAGGGGAATACACTGCTACCAATACACTGACAACAAAAGGCAAGAATTACTAAAGAAAAGTAAGACAAAACAAAGCAAAAAACACTTCACAAGTAGCGCCTTGTGGAAAAGCTTCTCAGTTTAGGACAATTTAGAATAAAACAGTCTGACAAGACATAATGGTTCCTGACAAAAATCACTTTATTTTAATTCTGTCAAATGACTGATGTTCACCATGACAACACTGAGCCATTAGAAACAAAAAGAAAGAAAGAAACAACCCTGAAGTGTATTCAGCTTGAGAAAACAGAAATGTGAATTTTATATTTTGAAAAATATTCATATAAAACAAAATAGGCACATAGAACTCAATTACCCAGAAAAAGAACAGAGGAAGAATATACCATTTAACACCTCAGTCAATGAAGAGATACACAAAGTAAAATTTCTCACTTAAAACTGGCATGTGCAAACACGGCTGCTTTAGAAGATGAACTGAGGCGTGGCCCACTAACTCAACAGGGCTTTAAACACGTAACGCCCTGTGCTAAGCCAGTTCTTGCTCAACAGCCAAAAGATCTCAAAGTCTTTAAAAGCTATTCAGTCAAACGTCCACTGAAACGACTGGATCACTCAAGAAAACATCGTGCTGTGCTTTCTCCTTTTTTACTCTTATCGGGACTGCCCACCAGCCAGGCTGGGCCAGCTCTGGCTCCACTCGCTCTCCTCCATCAAGCCCCTCCACCCCTGCCCTCAGTGTCCTCAAAGTGAAGGGCTTGCAGGACGGCAGCACACTAGTGTGCAGAGCGAGCGTGCTAGCTACTGCATTAGGCTCTGCCCAACTCCATGCTGCTTCCATATGTGTCTTACGTAGCCTAAATTCTCTCAGGGTGTACATTACTTCACCCTATATTCAAAGACTACAGTACTAAAAGGAATTATAATCACTTCAGTCTTTTCCAACATTCAACACTAGGTACTGGCAAGATACTGTGTAACAAATTGGTTATGTTGTCATTAAATTTAATTAAAATACCACTGTATCCAATTATCTTGTGCTATTAAATATTTTCCAAACTGAAAGTAAATTTGACATTTGAAAAAATGGTCTGTAACCAGGATATTCCTTAAAGAATATTCACAGCAATACCACTTTGGCCAAGCAGCAGACACAACCCAGGTATCCCCCAACTGTGGAAAGACCACACAATGACACAGATGACACTTTGAAAGGTAGTGCTGAAAACACAAGAGAATGCCCCAGTGAGGACGAGAGGCGACACACAAGCATACTGTTGAGGGCACAGACGAAAATGATAAAATTATATAACGTGGTACCACAGAAAGTAGAAGAGTGGTTACACTGAAGAAAAAGAAGACTGGGTCAGGAACACCTGAGATGCCCAGGATACTTATAATTACTCATTATACTCCACACATTTCTTTTTTTTTTTTTTTTTTTTTGCGGAACCGGGGATTGAACTCAGGCCCTTGCGCTTGCCAGGCAAGCACTTATTCTACTGAGCTAGCTCCCTGGCCCCACTCCACACATTTCTACAATGTTGAATTTTACAATAAGTATATTTTCTGAAGTAATATTCATATGTTCATGTCTAGCAGAAAGTTTTTTTCTTTTTGCTAGAAACAATTTTATTCCCCCTCAGTATTTCAATTTTTATTGTAATATTTTAATAACAAAGAAATGTCACTATGATTAATTTTCCAAATGCTAATTAAGAATGAATTTCATGTGATTGGGTATAGTGGTGCCCCACTAATTCCAGCTATTTATGAAGATAACAACAGGTGTATTAAAAGTCAGAGGCCAGTTTGGGCGACTTTGTGAGACCTCACCTCAGAATTAAACGGGAAAAAAACCAGTGGTAGCGGCAGAATATTTGCTTAGCGTGCACGAAGCTCTAGGTTCAGTTTCCAGGACTGCAAAAACAAGAGAGAAGAAGCCACCAGCACCACTACACCAAGACCAGGCCTGTAAACGCTATCCGTTCACTAACACTGCTTAACCTGGGCTTATCTGCTCAGGGTTATTTCTGTAACTTTCTCTTCTTTTCAAAAACAATGCGTGCTTACATATAATAAAGTCCAAACCATATCCCAGTAATAATGCTTCGCAGTCTGTCATTTTAGGCTGAGGGCAGGAAGCACATTTCTATCTTACACTACAAATTAATTTTGGCAGCATTCACATATGTATAAACATAATCTGAGAGACCACGACAGTCAGTCACACACTGCACACTGAAGTCTGGCCTAGTGTCACTCGGGATCAAAGTATGGTTCACTGTATGCAAAAGAAGACACGAGAACTAGACTATGGGTGGACACACAAGTTACATCTGCAGTCCGCTGCATCAAACGTCACATGGAGCAACGCACTGGAAACAGATGCAATGTGACCTAATTTAAATTACAATGAAGTGGTTTTAATATTCCCCTGGAAAGACATGGCCACAGGGAGTTGAAATTAGTAAAAACATGTCACCATGATAGTAGTGACCTGAGTCCATTACCAAAAGTACACAGAAAAAAGGAACCCTACACGACTCACCACCATAAGTTACTTCAACGTATGTCTGCTACACCTCTTCTTGTGGGTGGGGTGGTGTTGTCGGGAATCTTGGGGCCCCGTACATGCTAGGCATGTGCTCTACCACTGCGTTACAGTCCAGCCCCAGGCTTCTTTGCATGCCACCAACTAAGAAGAGACGATGAGATTCGGGACAAGAGTAGCAGCACTGTCAGCAGGCTCCATTCTAGCAGGACGACAGCACTGGTGCAGTGCTATCAGCACAACAGGGGTGGTTCTGCTACTGTTTCTCTGTGAACGCAGCCCAGGACCCTTCTCCTTAGTGGGTCCAGCCAGCCAGTTCTTTGCTCATCTATTAAGTGCCAGTCTTAGAAAATTATGTGGTGTCCAGCAGGGAGCAGCATTACAACAGCCATGAGACCTAACTTGGCAGTGAAGCTGACAGAAGAAAAAGGCAAAAAAGCTCACTTACCCTCAGTCTGTCTGTTCCATGACACGTTCAAGTTTTAGGATGGTTGCAGGACTTTTAGGAAAAAATCTAAAGCGTGTCTCAAAGCACATGTGGGTAATCCATGGCTTCAAGATCCTAAAGCAGGAAATCAAAGTTGTATCAGGTAATGACATCTCCGACCCAAGTTGAGCTGGATTAATAAACATTGTGAGTGAGTGTTTCTCCATTAACTGCTAAGACAAATCTTCCTCCTACTGGGTCAATAGGATTCTAAACATGCATATTCAATGACACTGGTTCAAAACCAAAAAGAAAAAAAACCTATGAATTTTAAAGTCCTTTTCCACTACAGAATTTATGTAGAAGAACCTGGATGACATTGCAGATAATAAGATCTCAATCTATCCAGAAAGACTGTGGTCAAAGAATTAAAGAAGCTGATAAAGCAACCTACACACTTCTGAAATGTATCAGTCTCCTGTAGACCTGACAAATTTTCAAGCAATAAAGAAGGTATAAATATTCACTTCTACAGGTCAGCATGAATATCAGGTTGCTTTTACGAATGAAAAGGTAGCAAAGTAGTAGTTTACAGTGCTGGTGGCCAAGAATGATTATTTACTAAATACAAAGACTGCAGATAGTACTACAGAAAAATCTCATCCACTGTTATAAGACGAAAGTACATTATTTTTAAACTGACTGGAATGTGAAAACCTGCCTCATATTCAACTACAATTCTCTATCCCTTCTTATGACTACTAAAAAATGTTTCATTTCTATTTCTATTTAAAATGTCAAGCAGTTTGCTTTGTGTATTTACGTGACATTTCAGGGTCCATATCAAAAACCAAATTTCTGTGTTAAAAGATAACATGAATATTCACCTTTACATATTTCCTTAACTGGACAGATCTTAAAGAACATATTAATATGTGACCATATACTATATAGGCACTCAGCTGTAATTTAATAAATGTAGGATGATTCCTACCATGTTAGCAGCCCAACTTGAGCGAGGAGGACTCAGCAGTGCCTCAGTCTCACTGAGGCAGAAGGCCAGCGCAACGCTTGCATCTCCCGCCCCCAGGAGCACCACAGCGTGCTCTCAGGGCTTCTCTCCGCCGGGCTCTTCAAGCCACGGCTCTTCCTCCTTGCGGGGCTCGCTCTGAGCTCTGCACATGTCACTCTCTGGTACTTTCTTCTTCTTACAATCTTACTCTGCTTCACTGGAAATGCATATTGATATCAACTCCAGTATTTGTTTTATTCATATTCTTCCCTTTTAATCTTAAAACTTTTTGCCCTTTTATGTTAGAACTTTTATTTAAAAATGAGTTTTCTCTCTGTAATAACCTACTTAAATATATTTTTTCATCTGTTTACCCGGCTGGAAGACTCAACTAAATACATTCCATACTGTTCCTAGTCATAAAAATATTTTCTGAGTTATTTAAATATTTGAAAATTTAACGAAACATTTTAGCACTGATCTTGAACCATTCATAACAACCTCTGATATCTAATTTGTCTCATTCTAATCAAACTGGAGACAACTTCTGTCAATAGGGAGGTGATTTAAGATCTTTGTTGATGTGAAAAAAGGCTGAATAACAAATTCTTTTAAGTCAACAGAACTGGATAGCTGTTTATTCACAGGTATACAATGCATGCACATGAAAAGAATATCCCCAGTACTCCTCCTACTTCCAACATATATGCTCCAGTCTGAGGAGAAAAGTGGTTTCTCAATTTAGCATGCTCTAATATAAAGAGTAATGCTAAGTGTAGTACTACCTTGTAAACTAATCTCATAATAATTATAGCTTTGAAACATTTTAGATTTATAGATTATACAACATATTTATATAATTACTTAAAACCCAAACCCGAACCACAATGGGTTGCATCCTGCCCTCTGCCACACAAATCCATCCCCACCTGGAACCTTACAACATGGCAATACTGGGATGGCTTTGAGGATATAATTAACACACTCACAATGGGCCATATTTCATTGTCTTGCTGCTGGAGGTTTGAACTAGAGTAGCACAGACATGACTGTTCCACCAGGTGGCTTTTTATTGTATTTGTAAAATTGTATTGTAACTGTTTGTACCACTGTGGCACAAGCTCCCTGAAGGCACAGTCATGAGTGTCCCACTGGTGGTGTACGTCGGTAGGAATGTGAGAGGGACCAGCAGGAACTCATGCTGGCTTAGAGTGGACCTACATCCGGTGGATCAGAACGTCTTGCTGAGACAGAAAGGACACGAAAGGACAGCAAAAGGCCAAACATGAAAACAGGTGGAGTGCGAAGTTCTGCTGCCACACCCAGGAGAAGCAGGGCAATTAGAAACGCAAGAGGCAAGGAAGGATTCTTTCCTAGTCTCTAAAAAGAACATGGCCCTGCTCACATCATGATTTAAGATTTCTGACCTCCAAAACTAGGGGGAAATAAATTTCTCCTGTGTCAAGTGAAGAAACTTGTGGTACTCTGCATGGCAGTCCCAGAAAACAAATACCAACTTTGCTAAAAGGAAGATATTGCTCTGCTCCCTGTATCAAAAAAGCCCTTGCTACATCTTCAAAAGTCTTTTTTTTTTTTTTTTTTTTTTTTGTCTTTTTGAGACAGAATCTTTTGAACTTGCAATGATTCTCCTGCTTCAGCGTCCAGAATGCTTCAATTACAGGTGTGTGCCACCAGGCCCATGTTCCTAAAAAGTCCAGTGATAGAAAGAAATGTCTAGACAGTTCTGAGAGTTGGAAACAAGTGAAGAATGACACAGAAAATAAGCCCTGTTGCCTTAGAGCACATACTCTCATGAGCAGACTGTGGGAAGAAACACAACCATTCAAGGGTTGATGGTAAGGTCGTAAGAGTAAGAGGAGAATTGATCCTGATTATAGGGTGGCTGAAAGCCTGGCTGGAGTGCGCTTTCTCCTGTGGGCAAGAATGGACAGCTGGTACACGAAGAGCTTGGATGTGCAGCTACAGATGTTTCCAAGACAAGCGTTACAGGCATAGGTTGGCTTCTCCTTGCTACTTAGAGTAAAATGTGAGACAAAACAAACAAAATGAGGTAACAAAAAGTAATCAGTATCTTATGACTTTGGTACCATGAAGTGAACTCATGACCTTGCACTTGCTAGGCAGGCTCTGCGCTGCTGAGCTATATCCCTGACCCAGCATCTTACGAACCTGAAAATTCTCAGACTATGTAGACCACAACAGATGCTAAAGCATACCCTGCAGAAATGGACGCAGGTGTGTGGGCAGTCTCTTCCCAAAAGATTTGTCTGGCATGGCAGTGCATGCCTATAACACCAGTACAGGGAGGGCAAGGTGGGGGGGGGGGTTCACCAATGCAAGGCCTTCTCGAGTTATATGCGAAGCTCAAGGCTACCCTGGAATACATAACAAGACCTGTCTCAAACAAACAAAAAAGAAAGAGGAGGAGGAGGAAGAAGAGAAAGGAGAGATAATAAAGGGGTTACACATCATAACCAAGCAGGATTTATTCAACATTCAGAAGTCAGGGGGCTAGGGAGCTAGCTCAGTAGAATAAGCTCTCGCTTGGCAAGTGCAAGGGCCTAAGTTCAATCCCCGGTTCCGGGGGAAAAAAAAAAAGTCAGTACCACAGGAAAGCAAACACCCGTAATCATCTCAATAGATGCAGAAGAGGCATTTGACAACATGTAGTACTCTTTCATGAAAAAAAAAAATCACTTAAAAATATAGGATATTAATGTGTTTATTCTCTTTAAAATTTAAAAAAATATATAGGAATTAAGTGAAACTTGTTCAAGTACAATAAGCAATACATGAAAACTCCACAGGTAATCATACTCCATGGCAGAAGCCTGAAAACACTTCCGAGATGAAGAACAAGAGAAGGATGCTCACTTTTGCTTGTTCCATCCAACATGACACTGAGTATTCTAGCCATACGAGTCAGGTCAGAGAAGGACACAGAAGGCGTCCAACTTGGAACGAAGCAAGTACAATTATCTCTGCTTACAGACCTTATATAGACCCTAAAGAGGCACAAAACTATTAGAGTAATTAATGCGACCAATCAACAGGACAAAAAGTTAACACACAAAACCAGCTATGTTTCTATATACCAACAAGCCCACGCTTTTATAATAGCATTTAAAAATGAAATACAATAGTAAGGGAAAAATCAAAGAATGTGAGAGACTAGCACACTGAAAACTACAAAACACTGCACAAAAATTTTAAGACATAAATAAATGGGAAGGGACCTTTCTTAAAAAAGTGGAAGACTGAATATTAGTAGGGTGATGGTACTACTCAACGTGATGGAGGTCATGTAACACCTATCAAATACCAAACGTACTTTTTTTTCAAAAACAGAAAAACTAATTGAATAAAATTCAAAATAATTATCAAGGATCCTTGAATAGTCAAAATAATATTTAAAAAGGTGAAGAATCTAAAACTTGACTTTAAAATTCAGTACAAAGTTAGAGTAACAAAGAAAATGTGATACTGTTGTGCCAACAGAGGGACAAACAGAGTGAACACCCTAGAAATAAACCGTCACGTAGCATTCAGTTCTCTTTAACAAGGGTGCCAGGGTCATCCCTGGGTCTTTCCCCAGTGCTGCTGAGGAAACCAGACAGCAGCATGAGGAAGAACGAAGCTGTCCTCTTAGCATGCGCGGTACTCAAAGGTCAACTCCAAGGGGCTCAGAAACCACGTGACAGCTAAAACTCCCAAGAGTCTGAGGAGAAAACAAAGAACAAACGTTCAGCGACACCTGGATTTGGCAATGACTTCTAAGATCTGACAAAACAGAAGGAAGAACAGCATACATGCTATCAAAATTAAATCTTGTAAAAGCAGCAACAAGCAGTTAATTTCACACCAATGCTCAATGCAACATTAGTCACAACAGCCAAAGATAGAAATAATATACGTCTATTAATTAATAAATCTGTAAACAAAATATGGTATATCTGTGCAAAAGAATATTATTCATCCATAAAAAGCAGTGGAATTTTGACAAACGCAAGAATGATGAACTTGAGAGAACATCACCCTAAGTGAGAAACACTGGGCACCAAAACAGAAGAACAAATGTTACACGAGGTCAAGAACCAAGTCA